AAACTGTTGTGGAGGGGGAGGGGACGTTTGGGTTCGGAGGGCGGTTACTTCTTGGAGGGGTTTCTGCAGCGCGTTGCGGGCGAGGTCTAGTTCAGGTACCCCATCCACTAGCGTTGTGGCTCTTCTTCGCCTTCCTCTTTGTCTCTCCCTTCGCCCTCTTTGAGCCGCAAACCCTCAACCCTCGAACTCGTGGCCTCCCCATTCTTCTTTGGCGGCACTGGCGCTGATGACAACAGGGACATCTCACCTTTGCTGCCAGAGATGTTGGGATGTGGATCAAGGACCATAAGGTAATTCTGCCTTATTAAGGCGTTAGCATGTCTTCAGTCTTAACCCAAGATGTCCCAAGGTTGTGGTTGGGGGCCAAAGGTGCGGATTGAGGTTTTGAGGCTGAGGCCAAGGCTCTAAACAACCCTCCAGGACTGAGCGTGCAAACCCTGAACCGAATCCAAACCCTCTAGAAAACCCCGACAGACCCACCGCAACCTTTCATCCTCAACATCGCGGCCTGCGATGTCGCGCGGGGGCGGTGCCTTTGCATCGCTAGCCAAACTGGCGTGCTTCTCCCTGAGGTCTTTGGCAGCCTGCTCTGCGTGGGTCATGTCGAAGGATGCTTCAGAGTCACATCAGATGCTGGTCCCCATGCGACGCTCATGCCATTCATCCCTGAACGACGGCACGTGCACCCCGTGCCTGTGACTGTGAACCAACGCAGCATTTCAGGCCCCACTGCTGGCGGCACACGTGACGTACGGCGGGCGTTCTTGCGAGGAGAAAAATCTAGCTAGGAACAACGGACAAAATCCCTATGCCATCTAGCAGACGATCTACAAGGATTCACAATAAACCCATCTTCTGCCCTGAACATGGCGCACCGAGGCCAGTTTGACCCTAGACCTGTAAAAACATTTTTGTTTGCATCTGGCATGGGACGAAGACAACCCCGCCTTCAGCTAGAGCAACCTCCGAATGCGCGTCAACCAAAGCTCCAAAACAAGCTCGCTACGGCAGCGAGAATGACTTGAACTTGCTGAAATGATTCACGGGGAGCCTTTTTAGCGTGCTGTGGAAAACTTTTTGCTTCCGGCCTGCTGCCGCCTCTGCCAGGTAACCAAAACCTTAAAACCCTGAACTTGGGATGTTCTCCTCCCTATACCAACAGTCCTTAATAGGTATCATACTAGGGGGGCTACTATAATATCCCTATTAAGGACTGTTAGCACAAAGGTGGAACATCCCCAACACTGAACCTCAAAAGCGCAGGCGGCAGTTTTGGGTCTCTTTGCGGAGGCACCTGCGACTTGGAGTGCTTGGTGAGGATGTGAGCTTCCAGGCTGGCGCGAGCGATGTGCCTTAGAAGCATAAAAACATACTACTAAGCAATCATAAAAAACAACAAAAAACAACAACAATAATAATATTCATAATCGCGAAGAATTTAATAAACTAAACAAACACGAGAGCTCTTGAAGGTGTCATCTAGGGCACCTAGTGAGGCTTCAGGGCTTGGGAATTGAAAGGTGGGCTGTTCTCCCCTTTTCCGAACAGTCCTTAGTAGGAATTGCAATAGTGGGCAGATCCGGTTCCTTGTTCTTCTGATACAGCCTACGGTACAACGACCCCAACCCTAAACCCCAAAACCCCAAAACCCCAACACCCCAACACCCCAACACCCCAAAACCCCAAAACCCCAAAACCCCAAAACCCCAAAACCCCAAAACCCCAAAACCCCAAAACCCCAAAACCCCAAAACCCCAAAACCCCAAAACCCCAAAACCCCAAAACCCCAAAACCCCAAAACCCCAAAACCCCAAACCCCCAAAACCCCAAAAAACCCTAAACCCTAAAACCCCAAAACCCTAAAACCCCAAAACCCTAAGCTGTGGATCAACATGCCCCCCACCGAAGGTCGGCAAGCCGGAGGAGGCCCAGGTCGAGCGCCGAAAGAAGCTGCAGCCGGGATTCTGAGGGTGCTTATACCTTTTACTACCAGTCCTTAATAGTACAATAGGGATTATCCTTAATAGTGTAATAGGGACTATCCTTAATAGTAGAAGAGGGATTCTCCTTAATAGTATAATAGGGATTATCCTTAATAGTATAATAGGGATTCTAGTACCCACGATTTATGTAAGGCTGTTAGAATAAAATGGAGGACATCCCCCCAAGTGCCCAGTGAAGCCCAGCTCAACCCCCAACCTCAGGGTGCCGGTCCTCTTTCTTCTCAGCACTTTCCCCAAACCCAGACCATCCTGCAGCAAGCGCTCGAAACCCTCCCCCCCCCCCCCCAATCAATAAAACCCTAAACCCTAAACCCTAAACCCTAAACCCTAACCCTAAACCCTAGTTTAGAACCCCCCCAAAGCAGGTCGAGTCTCTGCTTGCAACCCCGCACCGGGCAGTTGAGGAAGCTGTCCGCATCATCGGATTTCCGCTTCTTGGGCGCCATGTGCTCGCGCGTCGAGGGTGTTGGGGGTGGGGGGGGAGGGTAGGGGCTGGTAGGGCTTACTTGCCTTATAGGGCTTGTAAATTGTAGGGCTTTGTAGGGCTTGTAGGTCTTGGGGCTTTCGGGCTTTGTGGTTTGGGGCTTTCGGGTTTTGCTTTTTGCTTAGGGGTTCAGGGCTGAACATGACGTGAGGCCTGGTCTGTCTCTTGCCAATGCTCGTTGTCCTCCTAGTGGTCCTAAAGCATACTAGCACCGGGCAGGAGGTTGGCGCCGAGATACCATCCGCATGACACCGGTACGGCATGACATGGCTCGCTATGCCCCTCTGAAAGAAACCTCGGAAAGTCCCCCAGCCTGGAGCCTGTTCCCCACTGCCTTTAATCCTCCTCAAACAGGTCGTTCCCTTAGGGGATAGGATTAAGGGGATATTAGCCCCTCTGAATAAGGTCTCTGTTTAAGAGAGCCAGAAGAGGATAAAGAAGGGGTTCCCTTTTAAGGGTCCCCCTTATCCTACCTAGGATCCCTGAATCTCCCAGCCAAACTGCCTGGCACAGACTTTCAGCGTTGCTTGTGCGCTTGCAGTCAACGACTCCAAAAGTGCCGAAGCTTGGCTGCTTGAGCACTGTGGAAGCCTTGAATTGCACCGGTATAACATATGCAGCGCTGACGCCACAGCGATTTCGCTGGCTTGGCAGGGTGACTCCTTCCAACACGTGATAATGATTGACTATGCAAGCCAAACTGCAGGGAAATCGTTCGATCCATCTTCACTAGCCATACTGCAGGCATGCATTCTGCACGCCGCTGCCAGCATCGTCGACTCCAGTGACCTGCTGACAACAAAACAAAGGGCAGTCGCCTCTCAGCAAAATTGCCCGAAGGAAGCTTAGGACGTGATAAATGCACGCCACGACTATCACAACTCAAAGCTTTGGCGTTTCTTCAATGGAGACGCCAAAGACGTTCCGATCCTTCGCGACTTGACTGGCCGTCCCTTACTCGACTGTAGTGATGAGTAGCTGACGCCTTGCCCTCACATTCCATCTCTCCTTTCAAGAAACCCCTGCGGGTGGCACTCATGGGCTTTCTATACGATTCGTGGGGCTCGGTGCAGTGTTGCTGAACCTTCGTGTTTCGGGTCTCCCGGGCCCTTTTCGATGGAAAAAAACCCTTCTCATGTCGGGGCTGAGTTTTAAAGAATTCGTTTCATGCGTGTAAGGCTCCAGGTCCCTCCGGGTTGAGGGAAGAATTCCTCAGTTGGGTAAGTAGGTAAGTAGGCATGTTGCCTCTTCAGGAGGCGTCGAAGGGTCTGAGTGACACAAAGCTCATTGACAGCGCGGGTCCGCCCACGGCGCCCCCTCAAGGCGACACTCTCCTGGGCCATTTGGGGCATTTGGGGGTTTAAGGCGGGGTTCGGGTATGACATGCAAGTGGAATAAGTGGAATGCTCAATTTGGGCTGCATCTCAATTGTGGTTGCAGCTGCGCGTTGCCACACGGCACGCTCCCAGCCCACCCTTAAGGGCTGCAAGAATTCTTGGAGGCAAAGGGCGTCCTAACCGGCTAAGACATATGTAGTTCTCTAGATTAGGATCCTATATATACGGCACCTTCAAAAAGCAAACCGCCCAGACCTCGAACCGTGGCATCAAGCAGGTACTCCACCTCTAATCCGCCCTAGCCAGTATCTAAGCCCGACCCCGGCCCCCTTCCCACCTCACTCCCTCCCTCCCCCCTTCGCGGCCTCCACCCTGCCCAGGCACCCTGGCTTCCCCCAAACAAAAGGAGCCGTAGGCGGTAAGCCCCCCCACCCCATCCTGAATCGGTTGATTTGGCCTGGTGACAGAGTCTAGCGTCCTCCCTTTTAAGAAAAACTTTACAAAACCAAGCATACCCCAGCTCAAAAACCCCCGGATACATGGGGCAATGGAAACGAAGAAACTTAGGGTACCCTAGCGCGGGAAAACCGTTTTCTTATGTAACGTTCTCGCTGTAGTATTGTTGTATCCTGTTCTCTTCTTACACTACTAAAAACAATACCACAGTATAACATTATGATATATTATGATACATGATGATACATGATGATACATTATGATACATTATGATACATTCTGATACATTATAACATTCTGATACTCTTCTCCTGCCCAAGTCCCGGACGCCGCCAGTGGCCAAAGGCCACTCGTGTTTCGGCCCCCCAGGGTGGCGGGCAGCGGCGGGAGCATCGAAGCCTGCTCAATTCTTCTTATTCTTCTGATTAAGACTCTTATTCTTCTTATTCTTCTGATTAGTACTCTTATTCTTCTTATTTTTTGATTAATACTCTTATTCTTCTTATTATTATGATTAATACTCTTATTCTTCTTATTATTATGATTCGTCCTCTTGTTCTTCTTCGTGTATAACTCTGTACATGCTGACTATTCTTCCCACCATTCTTTCCACGATTAGACAAATGAATGCCAAGACCTCGCAACCGTCATAACCCAGGGGGGGCCAACACGAGGAATCACGTCATCGGACTGCACGGGCCGCGTGGCCTTGGAGGAGCATCACATCACCTGCTCCAGGGCCCATGGCAGAGGGGAGCTACCTCACTGGCACCTCTGTAGGGCGACTGACACTGCCTCTTTGACGACCCCACGTGCACGACCTCATGTTCCCACATGTTCCCACCGCCCCCCCCCCCCCCAACACGCCCATACTCCAGCCTTTGCAACTTCACAACGCCTTGGGGGACTGCAAGGGTGACCAACAGACTCGGAACCCGGCGCTCAAGCCCGAAATGCTAGAACCCAAAGAAGCAATATTTCCGTCCTCCAAGAAGGTGGTTCCCGTGTTGCCCACAGCTGTCACCCAGCCGACGGAGCCATCTGTCCGGCACTTGCCTTGGCTTCAGTTTTAGGGCTTCGAGTTTAGGGTTTTCTTCGGGAGCAGTCTGGAGGAGAACGAAGGCCCAAACATTTGCAGTTTCAGCTCACGAGACCAAGTTGCACTTCAGTCGCATGAGGCCGGTCCTTGGTATGGGAGGGTTTTCGGGCCAGTGTTCGGCTTTCGGCTTCAGAGTTCTGCGGGCGACTTTTTCAGAGCCTGGCCTGGGCCATGAACAAGGGAAGTAGCTCTTGGGTAGCTGAGTGTTCTCTGGATGTTTGGAGTGGTATGCTGCAGACACGATGCCATGGCGCACAAAGCCCTTTCAATTTCTGTCGGCCCTTGCGAAACCCTGACACAGACTGCCTGGCTCATCCAGGGCCCTCGCTTATCCTTCTTCGGCCAGATTAACACATCCACGACGTCACCCGGGCGGAGCTTGCGTGGGGCTTCCTGAGGAGAGGTCCACAAGGCAAAGGCATGCAGCACCCAAACCCCCATTTCCAGGTCCCACCAGAGACTCTTGCGCTGCAGGGCGAGGTCTGAACACCCATCGAAACCCCCTCGCAAGGCCTTGCCCCCTGACGAGTCGAGCTCAAACGCCACAGTCAGGATCGTCTCCTAAGCAGGGGGTGAAACCATTGGACCTCAGATTTTTGGTTGCGGGTTCGCCCACCACGGTGCCACAAAACTCAGAAGGTGAGAGGCAATCGCTCCTTGACCACCTTGTAGACGCCGGTGTAATCTTGCAGGAAGGGGGTACCATTGTTACCTCCCGACGCGGCCAAGAAAAGTCAAACATCAAAACCTTCGGGCCTTCCCTCCTAGAATCCTAAAAACCCCAAAGAACCGAAGTCGGTATAAGTCCCACAAAAAAAGTCCTGAAACCAAGGAAGGGTAAGGATGCAGGGGTTTTGGCTTCATCTGACTGTGCTTGAGTACCTTACGGTTGAGCGTCTTATTGGGTTCGGTTCCCACGGGGGCGGGAATTAACCCTTTCTGAAGCTGACTTGCTGCTTGTCAGAAGACGGTCTTTCAAGAAGAAGAAGAAGAAGAAGAAGGAGCAACATGTAATCCTTTTGCAGCAGGCTTCTTAAACCCTTTTTTCTCCAGAGGCCCGGGTGCTACAACCCGTTCTTTCAACTGAGGAATGGTGCAAGGGGTCAGGGTTAGGGTTGAGGGTGCGACAGTCACCAGCTGCGCTCCCAGATCTTCTAGGACTGAGCTATGCTCGCAACTTTCCCAACAAAGGAGCTCCACGCAACTGCAGCGAGCACTGCTACATCAAAGCCCTTGTGGATAGCGTGGCGTAGGGAGGCAAGTCGGTAACCCCCCAAGCCCTATATCCCTAATTATAACCCTGAACCCTAAACCCTGAACCCTGAACCCTAAACCCTAAACCCTAAACCCTGGCAGCCCAAAAGCCCCAAAAAAGTAGCACGAGGGGCGGGCCTGATGTGGTGACCCAGCCTTCCGCACCGTCTTTGAGCGCGTGGCACCTCACCCGCGACACCCCGGCCTGGCGCCAGGAGGCGGTCTGTTGGACTCAGGGTTGGACTAACAGTTGACAGTCCTTAGTAGGGACTATTATAGGGGGGTACGATAATCCCTATTGGCCTATTGTTGTACTAACAGTTGACAGTCCTTATTAGGGATTACGGGCTGTTAGCATAAGGGGGAACATCCCAAGTCATAAGGTCTATAGGTTAGGGTTCAGGGGGTCATCTAACTGCGCTGCGGGGACTTTTTCAGAGGGTGGAGAAAAATCAAGAAACGCCCAAATACCAACCCCTCACGCATGAAACCCCGCTCCTACAACACGAATCGGTTTGGGGTTTAGGGTTCGCACGAGTTCTCTGGCCCTCTTCCTCAATTTTGAAGACCCAGGTTGAAGGGTTTCTGAGGTCAAGCGGAGGCTTTAGAAGTAGTTTAGGTTCAGGGTTTAGGGCTTTGGGTAGGAGGGAGATTCGGGAACAAATGAGGAGAAGAGGAGCCTCTGGTTAAGACCCCCCACCCTCTCACGCGCATGGCGTCTGCCCATTCATATCCTGGTATGTGGGCTTCCAGCGCAGAATCACTGAGGGCACACGAGGGGGGACGTACCTCCCTGTGTTGGGGAATGCCCAGGTGGATCACCAGCTCAGGACGCGCTGTGGAGCCGCAGGCTGCCAAAATTAGTGTAGGATAATTAAGGTCCCGTTCTAACTTTTTATAAACGGATAAGACGGGGTGAGCCTATGCTGGGGACGCAGGGCTTCCATTGCCTACGGGCCCGAAGAAGCCCTGAAACCTGAAACTGTGCCGCAAAACCCGCAAGGCTCCGGACGGTTGACAAGAGGGACAGCTGCGGCAGGCACACTTCGACCGGACGAACTACACGTACATGTGACAAGCAGGTTGCCAAGCGGAGGTTGGGAACACCGTATATAACATAATATACATACATATATGTATATGTCTATATGCAGATAGAATCACTATAATATATGAGATATAAGGAATAATGATATATATTATAACACATGAGATATAAGGAATACAGAATACAGAAAAAGGAGACTGGCGGTACTAACCCTGTAGAAGCCAGCGCCTCCTCATCTGCCACCTCGGCGCTCATGATCTCGAGCACCTCGCCGGCCTTCGAGGGGACCAGGCACAGTAGGGTTTAGGGTTTGGGGTTTAATTCGGGTTTAGGGTTTGACTTGAAGATATATGGGAAAGCGATGTTTTCGTGGCTTTGGGACGTGTTAGGGTTTCGCTGACTTAGGGTCAGGCTTGCATCCACTTGACTGCATTCCCGTGTCTCGGGTGCCGGCGAGGAGTCTCCGGATGGAATCTCCCTTGACACTCTTGTCGCTGGTGAGAACAGTCTCCTGGCACCCGAAACCGTACACACTACCGACTGATGCTTCTGGGGACTTCCGTGCCTCCAAAGTCGCCAAAAACGATGGACCCCCAGATTTTTGGGGACGGAATGTACCCCAAAACGAGCTGATGGCATTGGGGCTTTGGGGCGTTCAGGGTTTGGGGATTTTCTTTTGCTGCTTGCTACCCGCAGACTAGCAGGGTAGCAGCTCGGGATCTGCAAGGGTTCAACTATACCAGTGCTCGGCTTCCGCATGCACATGCTCCATCAGGCCCGAAAGTTCGGGTTTTTGGATTTTCGTGGGAAAAATAGAACACTCCCAACAACCTGGTTTCTCATGCTGCCAGCCACGTTTAGGAGTTTAGGGTTGAAGAAAGCCGTGCCCCATGCTTGTAGTGCAGAACTGGTGTGGGCAGCGTTTTCACAGTTTGGAATGCAAGTCCCGACGTTTTTTTCCTGGCCCGCTGCTGCATTGGTGTTCTGGCCAATGCACTGGTAGCACGGACGTTCTCATCGGGCATGGGGCTCTGGCCGATGGTTGCGACTTTCTCAAATGTCTATTCTATTTCTTCACGGTTGCGCAAAACGTGCGGGCAAACGAGCCCGATGGATCCAAACCGCATCCGTCATCGCATGGTCAACGGCTGTTCGGACAGCTGTGTGACCACGGACACCGTGATCATGCCCTCGCACCAGTCCCCGCGTCCTGAGCTAGGCTCGGAGGAATACCGCGCCGAATCCGGGCGCAAAGGCCCACAAATGGGAGATGCCCGTGAGCATGAACGTCGCAGCTGGCCAAGGATGGCCGGAGCAACATCGGCGTCCCTAGCATTTAGCATCTGACGGACTGCAATGTGAGGGCGACTCGAACGTGAGTGATGAAGCCCTGTACACAAAGCCAGCCACGGAGCTGCGGTGAAGTCGCAGCGCCGCAGAACTTTCCAGTGTGCTGCGGCATGTTGGGCAAGTAGGATGAAATCGAGAGCTGCTGAAAGTCGCTTTCGTTTCAGCTTGGCGACTGCACTGCGGGGCTGTCGGCGACTAGACTGTGAGCGATCCTTCCACCACATCACCAACCCCAAAATATAACGCACAAGCCATCGCACATGCCATGCTCCAAACCACCTTGCTCATTAAACTCCAACCGAACTCGACGATGAGCGAGCACGTGCTCTTAACAAGGTTGGTCCCCAAGCATGAACATCAGCGCTCCTTGACGACCTTCTTAAAGCAGCGAATGATCGCCGTCATTCTATCCTGGTTTAGGGTTGGTTCAGGGTTCAGCAACAGTCACAGGAGTTAGCAGAAGGAAGATGTTGATTTCAGGACATGGGCACCGGAAATTCTAAACTTACCACGAGGGGCCTTCTCGATGGCCTCCGCCTCTGCTGCTAGGGTGTCGAAGACTCTGGAAAGATCCTGCACAGATGAAGGCAAGTCTTAAGTTGTTGTAGGGCCTTGTTCCTTGTAACTCTAAAGAGTTCAACCACCGGACTCCCCGGGCCCTTGCGGCCTTCAGAATCCAGGTTGGGGAACCAGGTCCGGGCTTCTTTTCTGCGATTTGATGTAGGGCTTATATTTCTGGTATCCCCAAAAGGACACCCATTATATACACTCAGCAATTGTAAAAAGGAACCTTGTACACACTTGCCAGTAACAGTAATATGCAACCCTGCTTCATCTACCCCCCCAGCACAGAGGTCGGAAGTCCTCTTCTGAGACGGCTTCCCCATCCGCCTTTTCACCTTGCAACAGCTTCCCTCCACTCCCCAGTCTGGTTTCCAAAAAATTCCGCCCCCGAAATCCCCCTGCTCCTCAGAACGGAAGGGGTGGTCCTGAAAAGTTGAGTCAGGGTCAACCTTCAGGGTGCAACGATGCCACACTGGGGCCAGCTGCCCTCCCCAAAAAAGCAACCCTAAACCCTAAACCCTAAACCCTAAACCCTAAACCCTACCAAGGCACAGTTGGCACAGAAGCTCACAAAGTCCGACCTCAGCTCAAGGGCATCACAGGCACAGAGGCGCAGGATGACATCCTCATAGGGTTTAGGGTTTAGGGTTTAGGGTTTAGGGTTTAGGGTTTAGGGTTTAGGGTTTAGGGTTTAAGGTTTAGGGTTTAGGGTTTAGGGTTTAGGGTTTAGGGTTTAGGGTTTAGGGTTCCTGCTGCCACCCAAGCAGCTTTTCCAAACTCTCCTTCTCCCCCGCCATTGCCTTGAAGAGGTCATCGCAGGACCTCGGCAAACATCAATGTCCACCGGCCTCCCACACAAAGAACCCACGAGATCATGATCTGCCAGGAGAAAGAGACCCTCTTCCTTCCTGAAGCCAACAGACCCGAAATCCTAGTCCAGCTGGGGCATCGGCAGCGCTTTTGCGTGCTGATGAAGTCGGAGCCCAGCCTTCGGTCTTCAGAGCTCTTGCAGAGCCTTCTGAGGCCCTCCAAACCCCTACACTCGAAGCGCCGGCAATGCCCGTGGCTCCCTGCGAGCGCTCGCTTCTCCAGCTGGACAATCTCCTTCGTTTGGAGCAGGATTACCCTCTAAGCCGGGGAAGACCCAAAAAGCCTCCCAAGCCTACGTACGTTTAAAGGGCCTCTCATTGATGCTCTCTCTCTCCCTGTCCCTGCCGGTCCTGTGCCGCCTTGCCCTTGGCGTCGTAGCGGTGCTTTGCCAGCCTGGAAGTTTCGGGTGCTGTGGAGCAGCCCATGGGCAGCACCTTCCCTCTGCCAAAGATCAGGCCACGCCAAAGTGTCAAAGCCCTCAGCCACAGTCTCCCACCTGGCGCTGAGGTTGCTGAGGCGGGCGTCAAGCACAGCCGTCTTTGAGTCCTGCAAAGGAGCGCAGCCCCGGGAAAAACCCTCTCTATTACCGTGGACTGATGGCGATGCCGCTAAGCCCGGGCGCGTGCATGCTGAACATGAGTCGCACGCGCTGGGCATTAGCAGGCTGCAGAGCGCTCATACTACCAAGCATGTGGGCACAGTTCTAAACGCCAAAAAGCAGTAAACCCCCCATACCCTGAACCCAGAGCTTGCTAGCTACACCTGCCAACCATGACCCCCCCCCCCCCAAAAGAAAAAACTCACATTACACCGGGCCCCCGCTACCTTAAGCCCAACACCCCAAGTCCCAAACCCTAAACCCTAAACCAATAGCCGCGTCAAGGGCACCATGGTCAACTAAACCAACAGCCGCGTCAAGGCCCCGGTCCACAGGTCGGCATTCCATCATGAACCAGGCCGACAGCTCTTTTTCGACGCCTGAAGAGCTTTTTTGGCAAGGGGCTGGTATGGGACGCTGCGGGCTTCTGAAGGCTTGAGAACATGGAGGCCCACGGGTTCTTTCAGAAGTTGTTCTCTGGGTATAAGGAGATGATTGGATGGAGATCACGGGTTCGAGTTGCCTTCAGGGCTTGAGTGGTCTCAAGTTTTAGATCTTCAGGGTTTCGGGTCTCACAGACGCCGGGTGCGGAGGGGGGTTTCGGCTGAGGGCCTTCAGGTTTAGTCGCTCACACTCGGACATGCCAGGCGCACAATCCGGTCTCAAGTCTGCTCGGTGGACCCTTGTAGGCCTGTGGTGAAACATGCACTCCTGAGGTGGCCTAGTCACCTAGTCTGCCAAGAATTGGGCCAGAACCCCCGCATGGGTAGGGGACTCTTGTTGAATCTGGGCAGCTTCGATGATGTCACGTAGGTCGGGATCGCTAGAAGCACGTGGCACCTCGCCTGGCGCTGCTGCACAAAAGCCCAGATGAGGTGTCAGGCGTGGAAAGAGGCTGAGGACGGTCGTGGCCAGGAGTTGAAAAGTGGCCAGGCCAGTTAGCAGCATCAACACCTGCTCCCAGGAACCACGGGATCGGAGGATGGCACTCGATGTCATCTGGAACATGAACGACGAGGACAGGCCCACCACGTCCAGCACGGCACTCGCGAAGGCGCAGTCGTCGCCATAGAAGAGCGGAAACATATTCGCGGTGACGTAGTACGTCAATCCAACTGAAAAGGCGAGGAGGAAGAAGAGCACCTCAAAGGCAATCTCCGACCAGCCGGAAGAAACGGCCTTCACCAGCATGAAGGCCGAAACCACGGCCAGCACCTGCAGAGATAGCTCCAATGCGAACTTTGCACGTCTCCTCCGAAGCAGGGAGTACAAGGGTGCCACCAGAAGCAGCGACATGAAGAGCCCAGCGGGAAAAACGGATGCTGATATGCTGGCATCCGCAGGCCTCAGGCGCAAGGTGTCTTGCAGGATGAGCGGGGCATCGTTCTCGGTGGCCTGGGCGAGGCTGTAGCAGCCAATGATCGTGCAGAAGTTCAGGAGCATGCTCGGGTTGCAGGTGATGCGCAGCACGCGCTCGCCCCAGGGCCTCTTGCCGTCGCCTTGGGTGCGCCTCTGCGGAGTCATTCGCTCGAGAGGTATGAACCAGAGGCAGATATACCGCAGCAGGAACATGGCCACACCAGTGCCCAGTGCGATGGTCTGCCAGTGCATGACCTCCAAAAGGCTTCCCAAAGCCAACTTCGAGAGCGCGGAGCCAGCCCTAGACCCGACCCCCACCACCGCGAAGCACCAGCTCCATAATTCCGGCTCAAAGTGCTGCTCCATCAGCTTACAGGCCGAGAGCCAGCCACCCGCCGCACACAGCTGGAGGATGACGTAGCCGACCAAAGGCATGGCCAGATGATGCCCCGTTCCGAAGATGCCGGCCCCGATGACCATCAAGAACAAAGACACGGAGAGGAAGCGCCGCGCGCCGTATCGGTCGATCAGGACTCCACCGGCAAACTTTCCCACGCCGTTGAGCGCGGTGCCCACTGCCAGGACGTAAGTGATCGTGGATTCGTCTAGCGCTGACTCGAGGCGTATAGCCGTCAGCATTGATGAAGGCATAGCCACGACAAACTGCTCACTGAGGAGAGGAAGGCAAACGGCCACATAGTTCGAGATCCGGCAAGTGCAGCAGGGCGCTTTATCTGCCGACATTGCGACGACCTCGAAGCTCATCAGGAATGCAGGACCACGCCGCACTAAAGATAGGGAAAAGAGTGTCTGCTTACGATGGTCAAGGGCATGTCACATTCATGCTGGAAGGCTTCGGGCCAGTGTTTCAAGCGGCCGCGTCAACCGGTGAATCAGAAGGTTCAGAATCAAATTCCTGCAAACCAAGGAAACCTTTTTAAGAATCACAATTCCTGCAAGACAAGGAAACCGAACAATTCGTGCAAAACAAGGAAACCGAAAGCTTATGAAGTTCAACCGTCGAGTAAGAGGTGAGTAGGGCTGATGTTTCTGAACATCCCTGCCCTAAGGGACCGAGGTGTTGAGGGCCCGTTTAGGAATCAATTACCTGACATCCCAACACAAAAAGTGTTCATACCACTTTATCAACCCCCAAAAAGAGGGGGGGCCCTGCGCTCAAAAAGCCGTGCCTTTCTTCGCCTCAGCCACTTCCTGGGCTTAAGGCCGCTGCCAGAGGCGAGATGCAAAAAAAACAACAATACTTGCAGGCTTCAATAAAGACTCCTAGGATGTTCTGACAGCCCAGAGCCCCCTACCTTCCCTGTCATCAGCCCTTTCCCTTCCCTTCAAGGGAACCAAGAACCAAACCCTTTCAAGAAGAAGGTAGGATAAGGGGGACCCTTAAAAGGGAACCCCTTCTTAACCCTCTATATCCCCAAGGGTCCCCCTAATCCTATCCCCTAAGAAGGGTGCCACTTCAAAGTTCCACCCTGCCGGGCGTCCTGAGTTTTGAACTCGGTCACGGCCTCTTTGGCTTCGGTGACCTCCGATGCACAATAGAGCGTAGGGGTCATGTGTGTGGGTGTCTTCGATAAACCCCAAGATACCTCAGACATTCAAGCTGACCCGAAACCCTAAACCCTACACCCTAAACTCTAGACCCTCAATAAACCCTCCCTCAACCAGGACATCTCAAACCCGGAAGCCTCGCTGACTCGAGCCCCCCTGATGCCTGTTCCTCCACCTTGTTGAGGAGAGGCTCCAGCTCTGTGGAAGACATGGTCCTCAGTATCAAGCCCAGTTCAATCAAGAAAGGCTTGGGCGCTTTGGGTCTTCTTGAACAGTACAGGGTGAGGGTGTAGGGATGCAAGCAGGCAGGCCGTAGAGAAGTAGCAGGGTCCGGAGTGCCATCAACTCGATTCGGAAGAGACCTAGTTGGTCGTAGAATGCACTAAGGGTTTCGGGTTGAGGACCCAAACATTTGAGAGGGTTGAGGGTGTTTTGGTTTTTGGGCAGTTTCGGGCCGATCCTGTCTCAGAAAGAAGCCCTATGGCCTAGCAGCACAAGATTACCGTAGAGCTCTTCGGAAGCGAACTTGAGCCTAGCTCGAAGGATGTCGGAGCTCTCAAAGAGGCCTCATTGATTCTATGTGGTGAGCTCCCACCCTCATATCCCAGCTCCGCCCTCCAAGCCAGTAAAAAAGACTCGGGAAAAACTACTAGCGAAGGCACCCAATCAACAACATGTGGGGGGGTGGGTTTGGCCGATTCGGGGGGCTCTGCGCGCTCCTCAAGCCCCAAAGCCCCAATCCCTACGCTAAGGAATCTGGGTGGTTGTCAAAGTTATGGTCCCTTTTTTGGATCCCTACTAGAAGGCGGCACCGAATATTTAGGGTACCCCAAAAGGGATCATCATTTTGACAGACCACCCATCTGCAGAAAAGAGGGCCAAGAACATTTGAGGCAAGCTACTGGGCATTGGCAAGAGGCCCAGCCGACTCCTCCACCGCTTTCACCTGCGCTTGGGCCCCTAACTCCTAAGCTTCAGGGGTTTGAGGGCTTGGGGCTATGTAGTATACACTCTCTAGAACCTAGCCACCCACCTCCGCCTCCACCTCCCCAACTTAACGCCACAAAAAGGACCGCCCCCAACTTTGCCCCGAATGCACCCCCCCCCCCCACCCGTATTGTCATAGGTTCCCAAATATGGGCCCTTCTTGTGATTGGTCGAATGCCTTGGGTACCGAAAGCTCTAAACACGAACCACCCAGATGTGCCTTCTCCTCCACGGCCGTGTACTTGGTGTCCAGTTCGGCCACCTTCAGGACGAATCAGCAGGATGCGGGCGACGATCAGAAGCCAAGGCATACACCCCACTACAAGCTCAATGCAGGCACATCTGTTTCCGACTGGGACCCAGAAAGTCACAAACGAATGCAGCAAGAAGAAAAAAGAGCGCAAACTGCACTACGCAGCAGACGCCACCACTGCGCTTGCAAAAAATGCTTCGGGTTTTAAAGTTTCTACTAGAGGGTGTCGCGAGTGTTTTTGCCACCCGCCCCCGCCTGGAAACTCAATAGCTAGGAATTTTAGGCTCAGCGCTCAGGGTTCAGGGCTTGGGGTTCCCTTGCCAACCTTTTGCAACGGGCGTGAGCCCACGACGAACCCCGAACCCTAAACCTTTGGCACCCAAAAAATCCAAACCAGGGCCTTCTCCTTGAGGCCCTCTTTCATGCCCTCGAGCTCCTGCACCGTGACTTCTAATACTCCAAACCCGTCCCAGCCCATCCCATTGCATCCATGCCCCGACCCCTGCTGCAGAAATTTAACGCCAAACCGTTACTAAACCCTGATTCCTTGAGGGGTTGTATGAGGGGGCTATATAGGGGGGGGTGCATGAGGTACCGAATTCCGTCATTAACCCTGAGCCCCCCTCATCTCATCGTGGGGTCTCCTTCTCGTGGGCCTCGCGCTGCTTTCGGCGCTCCGCATCCTCACCGGACTTAGGGTTAGGGTCCCTTTGGGGCTTTACGAAAATAGGGGGACACCCAATACGGACCCTTAAATTGTAGGATCACATTACAATAAGGACCCCAAGAAGGTACCCCTAATATCGTAAACCACCATTTCGCCACCTGTCCAACTGCAGAAGCCCAGAGTCAAAACTTTTTGCCACCCGCCAACAACACCGAGGTCTCTTCAACTGTTCTCTGAGTATCGAGGCCCTCTCCGACATCGACAGCCACAAGCAGGGTTTGGGGCTTGAGGGCCTGTAGGGCTTGATTTTGAGGCGCAGGATGCAGAACTGAGGGTTCCAGAAGCTGGCCCCGCACACACACACACACACACTCACACATGTACGCAACATTTTCCGAAGTAGCACTGCTTGGGGGGATGGCGGGGGGGGGGGAGGGACTGGACCCTAAACGTGATTAAGCCGATCAACTGGGGCAAACAATCTTGTTTCGGTTGGTTCGTTTGCGGGTTTTCGCCTTGCCTTGGTTCTGGAGTTGTGAAGAGGGTTTAGAGTTGGGTGCACCCTAAAGCCTAAACCCGAAACCCTAGCCAACTGGCTTTTGGGTTCTCCAACAAGGACCAGGCAACCCAACCTGATGGAGTCCCAGAGTTTTTTTTTCAGGGCCTTCTAAGGGTTTTGGGGGCACGAGGGTTTTCGGGCTTTTTTGGGGGCTTCAGGGGTTTTCGGGCCTCTTCGGGGGCTTCATCCGGGTTTGGTGTTGAGAGCCTTGGGTGGCTTCTTCGGGCCTCAAAGGGGTTTAGGGTTTGGGGTTTAGGGTTTAGGGTTTAGGGTTTAGGGCTTCATCCGGGCTTGGGTTTGAGGGTGTTTTGGGGCTTTGGCCTTCAGCTTCTCGCGGGCGATGCCAACCCTGGGAGGACTTCTTCGCTCAGGGCTTGGCAAAACTGGGCATGCGAGAGCTGTTTGTTTGTCACGCTACAAAGCTTCGGTTGGCCATATGAGTCAGTATGAGTGGTTGCCGGCTTTCAGTCTGACAGCACGCACGCTACGTAAGCCACTGCCGTTGACTCACAGGTTTGGGAGGTAGGAGGCAACCTGTCGCAGACCAGCAAAATCAGGGCTCTCCCGTCTCAATAGCTCTCCATACCCCAATGTGTGTGGTCACTGTCACCTGCTTCTTGCTTGAATCGCCAGGATGAGGGTAATCAAGGCCGACGGAAACCTCGGACCTTAAACCCTACACCACACTTATGCCCTTTTGCAAGAACCCAAAAAGACATGCCCAGCACCGCCACGAAAAGTCAGAGACCCTACGACCTGTATAAACCTTGAACCCACAAAAGCCTAACCCCTGAGGCCAGGGCTGGACCTTCAGTCGGTGGAAGTCCGCCTTCTTCACGCCCACACCTCCACCTTCTCTTTTCGGGATGGGGGGGGAGGGGGGGGGGGGGAGGAGGGAAATTAGGGCAGAGGGAGTTGGGGAAAAAGAGGAATGTTCTGTTGCCACCCACCAGTGGCTGAGTCCAAGCTTAAGGGATTTTGCCAGAGGGTTGGTGGGGCTACGCAGTTTGAGGGATTTGCGAGTTGCTTGAGGGCTCAGTGCATGGACTCACCTATCTCCACCGCACATCGCAGCACGAGACAGGATGGACAAAATTGCTCTAGGGTCCAGGGTTTAGGGTTTAGGGTTTCGGGTTTTGGGTTTGGGGTTTAGGGCCCCACCCTTGCTGACGTGTTTCAAGCTTTTTGCCTTCTCGGCTCTCCAGTTTCAAGGCCGAGAACTCCCCCCCCCCTCAACTTGGACTTTGCGAAATCTTGTTCCAAGAACGTCTGCGAGAATAAAACCTCCATTTCCATCGGAAGCCCACAACGAACCTAAACCTCGACTCCCTCCACCCATGCTTCAATCCCTCCCCGCTTCCCCCCTTCAAGGCACCTTTGACGCCCTCCGAGCCGATACCCTTGAGGATCTGCGTGGCTTTGGCGTCCTTGGCTGCAACGAACCGCTACCTCCGGGGTCTGTTCCAATCGGGTGTTCGGGTCGCTAGGGCAGGATAGTGGTCATTAGCCTCCTGTGTTGCGCCTGTAGGCTTGACGCTTCAAGGTCCAGCACATCACGGCGAATTGGAGTTCAAAGTTGATGGCGTTCTTACGTGTTTACATACATATGACCAGTTCAGAGACGATGTTCCTTTCTCAGGTGTCCTGACGACAGCCAGAGAGAGAGAGAGAGAGAGAGAGAGAGAGAGAGAGAGAGAGAGAGAGGGAGAGAGAGAGAGAGAGAGAGCGAGAGCGAAAGCAGGGCCCCCACCAAGCTCTGCGGACTGAACTCTGACTCTGCGAGCAGCATGCGACACTGGCCCCAGAAAGGAACATGCCACCCATGCCGAGCCGCCGTGATGGTGACAGAGGCATCCTGGATCGCACCCGGCGACAGTGCTTGGGATGCCGAACTGAATTCTGCTCTCGGTTCTGTTGATTCTTACCACGAAAATACTTGCCATCCCTAGCCCTTGAACCCTTAAACGCCAAAACCACGAACAGCAAGCAGTGTGCTTGTTCAGCTGCCCCGAGAGTCCATGGGATACGCCCATGGAGGCACAAATACTCAAATAAGGAATGATATTCGGCTGGGGGATGTTCGTCTAAGTCTAAGTGCTCTTGCATGGTGCGTTGGCAAAGTCATGGGCTCGTTTGTTCTCGCTTAGCCGCAGACCTCTATAGAGCTAAAGTAGCCCCAGTGCAACGCAGGCCATCTGGAAAACAGAGCCGCTCCACACTCTTTCGCCCGCGCAGTACAGTAAATGGGCGCGCCCAAGCCGGAATCACGCCTCCCCAAAAACTCAAATGTATTCTGGACTTCAAACCTTTCATCGGGGGGCTCTTATTCAAAAAGGAGTGCAACTGCTTGCTCAAGGAGTATTGAAGTGCTCGGATGGCCCTTGAGACCCTCTGAGAAGGATTCCTAAGCATTATCCTCTTAAACCCCATAAGGGAAAATATGAGATGCCCCAGGGGCCTACCTAGCGTAGCTGCCCTAAACCCTAAACCCTAAACCCTAAACCCTAAACCCTAAACCCTGCGTCCCAGGGCTGCGCCTTCTTTGCATACGCGATCAGCTCCTTCTTGCTCAGGAGTCCATCCTGAACATTCGAGTTTAGGGTTTGGGGTTTAGGGTTTAGGGTTTGGGGTTTGGGGTTTGGGGTTTGGGGCTTCTGCAGCACCATCTCCGAAGAGCGAGTAAGGGCGCCAACGTGAAACAGGACACAGGGTTCAGGGTTCAGGGTTCAGGGTTTAGGGTTTAGGGTTTAGGGTTTAGGGGAACATTCGGTTCATGGATGCGTGTAACCTCATCAAGGTGGCCAGCTTGCTGCACCCCTACAGTGCATCCAACCTCCTGCCCTGCAACCCCCCCTTGTCGCGGTCCTTGTCTACATCAAACCTGAGTTGCAGCACGCTGGGCTCATCGTGGAGAGGGGTCCGCCCCAGCAACACCCCCTTCCCAGTCAGGCACGGCTAGATGAGATGAGAGGAGGGTTTTCGGCACTGTTTAGGGAGTTGGGTCTTGCATGAGCTCCAGAACCACTTAAACCCGAAAGCAGCACCTGGAATCCACACACCCTGGAGCGCTAGGGTTTGAGGCAGTTTAGGGTTTAGGGTTTAGGGTTTAGGGTTTAGGGTTTAGGGTTTAGGGTTTAGGGTTTAGGGTTTAGGGTTTAGGGTTTAGGGTTTAGGGTTTAGGGTTTAGGGTTTAGGGTTTAGGGCCCCGAACGCGGAAGCTCAGCTTGCGACTTCGCAAACTTGGCCAGCTCCGCATCGACCAGCCTACAGTCGAAGATTGGGTTTAGGGTTTAGGGTTTAAGGTTTAGGGTTTAGGGTTTAGGGTTTAGGGTTTAGGGTTTAGGGTTTAGGGTTTAGGCTTTAGGGTTTAGGGTTTTAGGCTTTAGGGTTTAGGGTTTAGGGTGAGCCTAGAGATTTGGGGTGCTCAGCACATCTCAGCTCCACCTCCAATAGATGGGTCATTTTGGGGATGTTCCGCCTTAGAGTAGCAGTCCCGTGGGTACTACAATCCCTATTAAGGACTGTTAGTATAGGGGTGAAGATCCCAAAATAGATGGGTCATTTCCTGAGGCTCCACCAAAGGGCCCCCACCAGCTGAAGACAACCACGCTTTTCTGTGTTGAATTGATGGCGTGGGCGAGGCGGGGGCCGAATTACAGTGCCAGGACCCCTAAGACCTCCGTCTCGAAGGGCCATCGAACTCTGAAACTTGTGTTGGCCTCTGCAATTTGGCTGGCTGTTGTCATTTGCTGGTTCCTGTGGTGTTGCTTGTTGTTCGCACGTCCTTGTTGGTCAACTGCCTAGCTGACCCGGCAGCATTGCAGCATAGCAAGCTTTGCGGTCTGCCTCTGTCAGTGCACTTAAATCTCTGCTTCCAAGACCTCGATCCTGTGCAACCGTGCAACCCAGCAGGCCCCAAAAAATCACAAATCCCTGAAGCCTTCCCAAGCCCGAGCATCCCGCTACATCCCCCTCTTTACGGGTTTCGGTGCCTCGTTTCCCCTACTCTCCTAAGGGCCACTATGGCCCTCCCAAACAGCCCAAGCGGCTTCTTTGCGGCAGCCTTCCTTTTGAGTCTCTCCTCAGGGATTGGGCGGGCTTTGACCATGTGACCATACAAAGGCGTTGCTGTTTGGGGGGTGGGGTCCCCCCTTATACTAACAGTCCTTAATAGGGTTCCCCCCCCCCAGTATAATCCCTAGTAAGGACTGTTAGTAGAAGGAGAACATCCCAAGTTGAGGGTTTGCTTAAGATACTTCCTGACATGTCAGGGTTTAGGGATCAAGGGGGCAGCCTCGGAGGGGCTTGCGTCATGTGTTTCTGACTCCTTTTGTTTTTTGAGGGGTGCCCGCGTTCCTATAATACAATAGGAGGCTGGTAGTGTTGGGTGGCACCCCACCTAACTGCTCAAACCATCTGGGGGGCAAGGGGACTCAAATCGGTTTTGCCTGGCGCGTGGGCACTCGCCCTGAAAACTCTAAACTGGAACTCAGTGTGTGGCCTAGAGGAACCGGCATGTCTCTAACAAGCAAGGGAATCTGCTTCATTGTTGGAAACACTTGCCACGTTTATCGTAAACTTCAGAAAGTTGGAACATCACTATCCTAATGCCGTCAAGGGATAGTATGGGGAAACCCAGCACAAATCATCCTAAACCCATGTTCCAACTTTCTGGAATTCACTATACCGTATTGGGCGACTCTGCGTAGATCTAGGCAGGGTTGGGTGCGCACCCCTCTCCAAATTGTCGCGTCCTGCGCCACAGAAGCCGTCTTCTGGGTCAGGTCCTGACGGGGTTGGTCCATGAGAACCCTGAACCCTGTAGTGGGCTACTCAAGCTCAGAATCTTTGCTCGAACCCCACCGCACCCCTAACTGATAAATTGAGGGGCTCGAGCTCCTAGCTTGTTTAAACTGAAGGGCTGGATGTCATCAACTGACTTTGACAGTGCGAGGAGCTTCGGGTCGACGCTGGCTCTGGTCCTTCTTGGTTGTAATCTCGTTCAGCTTGCCCACGACTGCCTGTAGGCTCCTGGGCGTGCCGACTCTGCGGTCCACAAAGCAGCCGGCCCTAGACCCGAAACCTCAAACCCTAAGGCAAGCACGAACCCAACAAGTGCTATATACTCTGATACACTGCAATATACATGTCTCTCTTTGCCGTGCCATCCTCTAGGGTCTTGCTTCGCAAGGGCACGAAATGGCTGACCGGAGCATCAGTATACATATACATGTATATATATATATATATATATACAGAGCGATTGATATAGATATAGAGTAAATAGCACCTTGCATGATATTATATATTTATACACAACCGCAATACACAATAAAAGCCATGTACACATATATATATATATATATATTACCATATATACATATATGTATATATACATATATGTACAAAGCCTACATGCCCTACAATGCCCGAACATCACGAACTCTTAGTTCTTGGACTTGCTAGGGGTTGGGCTCATGGAGACCCTGGACACCTGAGTCCTGACTGCCAAGTGAAGCATTTGACAAGCAACCTCCTGTTACCCCAATACTAAACACCGCCCTGTTGGACAAGGGTTGAGTTGATGGTGTAGGGTCATAGGTTTCATAGGTTTAGGGCTTAGGGGTTGGGTTCTTCGAGCCTTGCACCCGGTCCCCACCCCTTGTCTGGGCCGCATGCTCGGGCTCGTCGCCCGTCTCCTCCCCGGGAGTAACCCTGGCAGGAGCAGCCAGATTGTTGATGGTTTCGGCGAAAAAGCTTTTCGCCTCAACCCCAAGCCCCTTTGCCAGAACTGTCACGCTCCGAGTAGAGCTTAGGTGAATGGCTGCGATACACTCCTAGATCGTTTCCAAATCGTCAGGCAGGCTCTGACTGCGCCTTAGCATATAGTTTGACGTACACCTGAGGTTGCATCGCCTTGTGCTACGCAGGTTGGGGCAGTAACGTCGGGAGTGCTGACACAGTGTTGCCGGATCCCCCTTACTCCCTAGCATGATAGCCTCCCACGCCCAAAACAGCCTCTGCAACCCAAGCCCCGAAACTTACCGGCTCTTTTTCGGGAATTTGAACACTAGGTGTCCTCTATCCCAATATAACCCTTTCCTTGCAACCCGTCAGCAAAACTCACCCTTAACAGCCTGCCTGGTAAGATCCAGCGGGAAGCCGATTTCATGGGGGTATTAAGGCTAGTAGGGTTTAGAGCTCCCTCAAACCCAAAATCATCCCGATATAAACCCCCCAAGTCTGCCGTGGGCAGCCGCTTCACCGCGGAGAGCCGCATCGCGGCAGAGTGCTCTTTCACAAAGTCTTGACCTTACATCAGCTTAGGGTTAAGGGCTTAATGAAGGCATCCTGTTCATCCCCTCATTCCCAGCGCACTGAGCAAATCTCGCCCTGAGGGCACCAGCTTGCAACCACGGAAAAGAGCGCGCGGCCCCGAGCCCAGCCAAGACCAACCAGGCAGCACTCTCACTAGAGTCACTAGGGCCACTAAGGCCTGCAGGGTTCGTGTTCCGTGTTTAGGGAGCTCCCGTGCACTACATCTGGCGCCAAACAGCTCAAACCGCCAACAGAGGCCCCGGGGCCCCATGCATTCCTTGATGGCCTCTTCCGCCGTCCCCACCTTGCCCTGGACAGCGGTGGCCTTGGTGTTCCCGACACCTACGAGCCTGGTCCTGTGGGGGCCTTGAAGGCGAAGTTTGGGGGTATAGGGTCCCCAAACAAAGACTCAGCAGCATGTGGTGTGCGTACTTTGTATCCTGCCGAGAACGTCAGCTAGCCCCGTACCCCTGGAACTACCCTACATTGCGGAACCACTACCACTAGAACACTAACAACCAGTAGGGCCAAATAGGCTGAGTGGAACTCCCCAAACTCCGAAGTCCAAAGTGCTCTCAACCCACTTACCCAACTTCTTGGGATGGGGCCAACTTGTTGACCACGTCCAGCTTGAGGTCGGCCTATCAGCTTCGGGGGGAAGGGGGAGGGGAGGGGGAGGGGAGGGGGAGGGGAGGGGAGGGGGAGGGGGAGGGAGGGGAAGGCAGGATTCAGGGCCTCTTGTTGCCACCCAGGCTGCACATGCCCACGCACAATGCGCACAACATGGGTTAGGGTATAGGCTTTAACTTTGTTGCCACCCGCCTAGCTGACAATCACATGCCACTCCAGAGGGAAAAGCCGGGGGGAAACTCAGGGAAGCGAAGTGTGGGCTTTTTTCGGGTTGAGGGGTTTAGAGCTTAGTGCTCATCCGAATTCCAAGGCCCGAAGCCCTTGTTTCGAACCCAGGTTGCCCCAAAACGAAGAGGCCTCTGGCTTCAGCGGCTCTGCCGCAGACACCAGCACGTCAACCGCCTTTTCCGCTTCCTTGACCTGTCGAGTCAAAGGGAGATTTCTTGGTGCCCTGAAGCCGAAACCCTCAAGGCCCAGCCTAAAAGCCCTTATCCTAAAGCCCCTGCGGGGTATGTGACGGAGGCTTCTTTCACTGAAATTCGAAGCCCGCTGAGCCTTGGCCGCCAAATCCTTGAGGAGCTCGGTTGCCTGCCAGGGATTTGGGGTTTGGGGTTTAGCCCCTCCACAGGCAACCCTTTTAGCCTTTAAGCCATGCCCAAGCACGGAGTCGAGAAACGCGCAACAAAACCCCCCAGCCGAAGGCCTTTTCTTGGGCCTCGCGGGCCTGCTTGGCCATCTCCTCCTTGCCTAGGCAGACGTCTTGTGGGCAAAGACTGTGTCGGGCCTTCGGGCACAAGGCTTACAGCAGGGGTGGCTTGGCAATGAGCCAGCTCTTCGCCCTTCAGAAAGAAGGCCCTTCAAAAAGAAACCCCCCCCCCCCCCCCCGAAATCTGTACCCATATCGATTCTTAGCAACTGATACTCAGGCCACAGGGAGACGGAGCAAGGTCCTGGTCATTGAGGATGAACAGGCCACGCTTAGGGCCATAGTTTGGGATTTTCCCCCTTGTACTCGTTCTTAGTCGGGACCCCCTACGGCAGATCGGCTCAGGGAGCACCGCTGTGCTACAGGTCGGTTTGGGCCTTTAGGGTTTGGGGCCTGGGGCCTCTAGGGTTTAGGGCCTTTAGGGTTTCGGGAGTATAGCACTGTAACAAGCACCAGGAAACTCCGGATGATCAGCCCGTGAAGCATTAGCTCATGGTCAATGGCCCCTGGCTCTCCTTTTGCCTTTCAGAGCCGGTGCCAGATCTTGGCCCAAAACTGCTTCATGAGGTCCTACGAGCTTCTCCCTGAAGCGGATATGTTCTCTGTATGTATTCCACGCGGCTTATGTTGTTCAGGCTTATGTGCTCTCCGCATCCCCCCAAAAACATGGTCAGCCCTTTTTTCTTCTCTGCGCCTTCGCAAGATGTCCAGTCAGTCCTGCTTGTGGCCCTCGCCTTCCACATACTCTTGGCCGAAGGTGCTGTTGGAGCCATCAGCCGGGGGAAAATCGGCAACAACTGGTGGTGAGTTGTCACCAAGCTGCTTCATGATGCTGGTGGCGGCCGCGATCATGCCAGAGGCGTCACTGGCATTCGCAGGCACCTTTGCTATCACGCGCATGCCTAGAAGTCCCTGGGCCTAGGCCCTCTACTCGCCTCAGGATCATGATTCAATCACAGTTTCATAATGCTTAGAAAGGGGTGGTGAACGAAAAAACAACTCCATAGCTTGGTGTATATTACCTGCAGACAACGCAACACAGTGGGCATTTTTGCCCTTGTTAACGCCCAGGATTTCCGAAGCCAACCGCAACGGTTCAAGTGCCCGTTTTCCCTGTGAACAGCCCAGGTGCGATGAGGGTGTTGGACTTCTTGGCCATCTCCTTCCAGGCAGACACCCATTGCTCAGCAACGCGGAGCGAGGCGGCTTGCTCGCCTTTCCTTGCAGCTGAGGGTTTTGGGCATCTTGGGTTCATAGTGTGGCCTGATGGGGTTTCTGCTACGTGGCATGCCCTTACACCGCCAAGTGCACACAATACACGAACCCCATATGTAGCTTATGAACTTTAACCCAGCAGAGGTCGGGCCGTTGTGACCGCGCACTGCGTTGCCGACTTTGGGCGCTAAGATGCTGCGCAAAATCGGCAAATCTCTCCGGGGCAGCCTTTTTTGTGGCACCCCAACCCATTGGGAGAGGAGAGAGCAATGAAAATGGTTTTATCTCCTTGGGAGATTGCCTGGTTCCGGTTGCAGGCGCGCCCCGGGCGCTGTTAAAAACCATGCTCGCCGCCTGCACCCCCAGACGCTTGACAACACCTGGCAAAAATTGCATGTAAATGGGTCTTTCCTAAAAATTGGGGTCCTTCCGAAAATCCGCCCATAACGCAAAAAGCCCTCACATACCCCTCTTTTTTTAGGAAAAAACCGCGAAGTGGCTCCAGGAGCCCTAGTCTTGGGACAGCATCTCAGCAGCCGCAATCGCAAACTCTTCGCCTCCCCTGCAAACATCAGAGATGCAGTCTTCCAGGACATCAGCATCCACTTCCGCATCCAAGTGCTTCATGCAGACCTTCCTGGCTTTCTTCTTCTCTGCCTCCGAGCAGGCGGTGACGAGGGAGTACTGCTCCGGAAGCCTGTCCAAGAAGTTCGCTGCGCCCTCGGTGCCGCCCAAGGCTGCCCAGCTTTTCTTCACCTCGAACTTCTGCTTGCCATCCCCGTTGCCTTGCTGAATCTGCCCCTGAAGGAAGCGCTGGTCTCCGGCCTCCTCCATGGACACGCGGGCGTTGATTCCATCGGGCTTGCAGACGACGTTGAGGGTCAGGATGTCTTCGGTGGTGTCGGAGCTGGTTGCCAGGCGGAGGCTGATGTGCTTCTCAGTGTGGTACATGAAGCCTGTGACGTATTCCCCACTCTCCAGCAAAGACAGAGACTTTCCAGATCCCTTCACGATGGACCACTTGGCATCGCCCCCTTGCTGGCTTCGCCATTTGCAGTCCTCACAGGGGAGGAGGGGAAAGGAACCCGAACGGTGCCATGATAGCATGGTACGACGGCAATCCTAGAATCACAGAGCAGAGGATCCCTAAAAAACGCTTTGCGGTCCTTGGCTGTGAGCTCCATCTTCTGCCGCATTTTTCCAAGGGATCGGTCCACCAAGAGGAGCCCTTGCATGGTCCAGTGCGAACCTCCGTACCGGGCGTACAGCTGCCAATCCACTTTACCTTGGCAGATTTTTTGACATCAGAGGGGCACTCTTTCCGGGAGTCCTTCATGTAAGCTATACGATGAAAACCAGATAAAAGCCTAGATCAGAACGTAGGGAGCTAGCCACCTGTCTTTGCGACAGTCCGGGACCCACCACCGGTCTCCTTTCTGAACATTGCCCTGTGTCCAGCGTAGCGGAAAACCGAGTAGGTCCCACTCTCGAACAAGTCGTACTTCCCACCATCAAGGGTGTAGATGTGCGGATCACCGAACACAGAGCCACGCTCCTTGCAGACATAGATGCTGTGAACAGCACCCGAGCCACCGAGAGCCACCTCCAACTTCTTCGTGGCCCGGCCGAAGACCCCGATAATCGCAGGCTTGCCATCCTGGTCAGCACCTTGGGGGCCCTTGTCGGGCCTTCCGATGAGCTTGCCCTTGTCGTCGTAGGAGAAGATGGTGGACAGCTCCTCCTGGTCGAAGAGAACCACCTGGACAACATCGTGGACTTGATCGAACTCGAACACCTGGGCTTTGGTTTTTGGGAGCTTCCTGGAAGGATGCCAAGCTCCCCCCGTTTTTCTAGGGCCCGTGTAGGGTTCAGCCGGGTTCTAAGGGGGGCCACATCGGGCTCGGTAGGGTTGCATCAGGGTTCTGTCTCATAGAAACGAATTATCTCCTAAGTAGCCCCAGAAACGATGGTGGGGCCAGGCTGTACTTCGCAGTCGTCGAGGGTTGTTGTGTCACCGTCCGCTGAGTAAATCAAGAGAGCACACTTGTTGCACTTCTTGAGGTCGGGGTCCCGAGATTTGAAGTCCGCACGTCGCGTGTCATGAATCATCAATCCGCCCGTGCAGCCTTTCGGGAGCTGCTTTGCAGTGATGGTCATGCCTTTCTTTGTCTTCGGCTTGATCCTCTGGCCGTGGGTGAACTCCTTGAAGGTGATTTGCACGGTCCCCTTGTTCTTGGCACGACAGAAAGGATGGCCCTTCTGCTCTCCAAGCTCCACCATCTCCGCACTGGGCTCGAAGCGTCTCATGGAGCTCTGGGCCTGAAGTGCGCACGAGGCGTCATCCTCTGCAAAGGTCTGGAGGACGCAACACAAGCAAGCCCAAAGCCACTTCGCCATGGGCGATGTGCTTTCTGGGTTCGGTCACAAGGATTTTTGGGCTGAAAATGCTGCGTCGACCACTTTGCACTCTCAGCGTGCTCTGCCATCATACGTGCACACATGTGCACACGACGAACGAATAAGTCGTCGCAGCCTTCGGGCAAGATGGGCCGTGCCCGAAGAGCCCCAAGAAGCACTCGGAAAGGTTTGGGGAAACATCCGGAGAATCGGCTATCAATAACGGTATTACTGGTACGCTAAGCTGTTCGAAGATACAACAATCACACAACCCGCCCCCCGGAGGGTATTTGCGCGTGGGGATCACCACATATCATGGCCTCCACCGTAAGGTTTCGTCCTTATCCAGCAGGCTGTAGAGCTTCGATTCGACTCTCCCGCACTGATTGGAGTCTGCATATTGGTTGCTATTTCTGCGTAATTAGACTGCCGGCCGTCCATTCATCACACAAAACATACAAAAGAGAGCAAATACGGTGGCTTCCAGGGGTGGGAACTTTGCAAGACAACCCGAGCCGCTTGGACTCCGCGATGGCCGAGCTGATCATGCGAATGCCCTCGGCCGTGGCCTGCAACAGAAGCCCCCCCCCCCTATGGGATGCTCCCCCTTATACTAACAGTCTTTAGTCGGGATGATAATCGGAGGTACTTTAATCCCGAAGAATGACTGTTAGTATAAGGGGGAACATCCCAGCCCCCACTTCACCAGAACAGCATGTGGTCATGGGGCACCACTTGGCAACATTTGACATTGTGGGGCGTGTTTTGACCAAACCACCCCAAAACAAGCTCTAAAAGCGCCGAATCCCCCCTAACCCCCAAACCCCAAACCCTAAACCCTAAACCCTAAACCCTAAACCCTGAACCCTGAACCCTGAACCCTAAACCCTAAACCCTAAACCCCAAACCCTAAACCCTAAACCGCAACGCCCCGTCCTTGGCGCGCTCGCGGATAGCCTCCGCATCGCCGCGGGCCTGGCGCATGGCGGCCTGCATCTTACCCTCGGCCAGGTTCACCTCGCCGGCGATAGTTAGGACACTTTCAGGTGGACTTTAGGGCTATTTTTTGCAGGGTTGAGGGCTTTTTTTGCAGGGTTTAGGGTTTCAAGCCCTAAAGCCCTTTTGCATCAGGCTTGCGTGACGCCTGGATCAGGCTATCGCTCTCCGAGCTGACAGCATTAGGACTAAACCCTAAACCCTCTTTGAACCCGGACTCTCTGAGGTGCCCTAAACCCTAAACCCTAAACCCTAAACCCTAAACCCTAAACCCTAAACCCTAAACCCTAAACCCTGGTTTGGGACACCACAGGGCTCAGGGAACCCAAGAATTCTGCGCGGGTAAGGTCCTTGAGCTGCGGTCCCTTTTGGGGCAACAGAAAGCAACCTACGATTTCTTTGAGGCACACGAACCCCCAAAAAAAAACGCACAAATTCCAAGAGTTGGCGACAATTACAACGACTAGTTGCTGAGAGTTCCTTCCACTTCTCGGCAGCCCACCTTTAAAACCCAAACCCTGAAACCCCACACCCCAAACCCTGAAACCCAAAACCCCAAACCCTGAAACCCTGAAACCCTGAAACCCCAAGTCCCCTTGTAACCCCCGGCCTCGCTCTGGCGATCTCCCTCACTCTGGAGCACTTCAGCCCTCCGCCGCCTCTCCGCCTCGGCCTCCATCTCCATGGCCTGGCGGGGGTTGGGGTTTCGGAAGTTTCGGGGTTGCGGCTCAGACACTCGCACAAGGCAGGCAAGGATAGGGTTTCGGGTTTCGGGGTTTAGGGGGGGTAGGGTTCTGGGGTTTAGGGCTTTAGGATTTGGGTTTAGGGTTTGGGGTTTGGGGTTTAGGGTTGAGGGTTTAGGGTTGGGGGTTTGAGAGAAGGGCTTGAGGAGGGCCCCTTTTTGACAGGGCTAAGAAGTCTGGTGCAAGGATGGGCTTATGGGCTTCAAGGAAATTGGGAGTCCAGGTGGGGTAGAATTCCCAAGCTGCGTATAAAAAAAGTGCTTCTGAGACAGGAATTAGGGACTGAGGCATGAAGCACTCCTATGTGTGTGTATGTATGTATGTATGTATGCACATACATACCATACCATACCATACCACACCACACCACACCACAACACACCACACCATACCATACCATACACCCACACATACATACATACATACATACATACATACATACATACATACATACATACATACATACGTACATACGTACATGCGTACATGCGTACATACGTGCATACATGTATATAAATACCATTGACAGACTATACAGTGCCCTGCATCCCAATCCTAGATTCAACCTGCATTTTTATACTTTGCCTGAGAATCCTAGAAGGGGTTTTATGGCAATAAAACATAGGCTTTGGGTTCTTAAGGTACTCCATTGCTCACGCTGTACAGAATTGGCGCTTTGGGTCTTCAGGGGATTTGATTGAGAGCAGCTTCGCAAACACGTTCTCCCAATCGAAAGGGCAAGGGAATTAGGGGACGTTGAGAGCGAACCTCCAAAAGCCGAGCTTTCAGGGATCGCGCCGAAAATCGCGGTCAAAACAGCAGAGGCTCAGAGTCCGCACAAAACCAACTATCAAAAAAGGGCCTGCTTGATGGAGGTCGGCGGGATGATGTCGCGAATCTCGTACCGGAGCACCTGGATGCCCCAGGAGTGGGCGGCGGCATTCACGGCTTGCACGATGGCGTGGTTCATGGCATCCCGCTCCTTGGAATAGGGTTTAGGGTTTAGGGTTTGGGGTTTGGGGTTTGGGGTTTGGGGTTTAGGGTTTCCAGCGACCCTAAAAAACGCTTTTCAAGAGACTCCGCCCGCCTAGCATCCCTGTGAGCCAAGGCACTGCAAGTCCCAACCCTCAACCCTAAAACATGACCCCTGTACAACCTTCAGAACCCTCGAAAGAAGGTACGGGACCACATAAAGGGACGACCCTTAGAAGTGTATGAGCCTCAGCTGCCCTCAGGAACTGAGACCTCTTAAAGCTGAGCCCCAAAACCCAAAACACCCTCTACCCTTTCTAACCCAGCCCTCACTAGGCTTAAGTCATTAAGCTAAGCCGACCCTTTTGCCCCCAATTCCCTAAGCCCTAAGCCCCCTAGGACGGCTCTCCGAGGCACTTCGAAGGTTCTGTCCAGGGTCATCTTGCCAATCTCCGAGCGCATGGAGGTCTGCGCGAGCTGCGTGACCGCGAAGGTGGGGTCGTGGACGCCGTAGGAGGCCTCGGGGGACCCATATGAACAGAGCTCTTGGGTCGACCTGGCTCCTCTTCTATGCATGATACTTGCTTTTAAGCGCTTCTTGTTAATCATGTACGTACGTATGTATATGGGACTTGTGTTATAAGATATGCATTACGTACATTTCTTACACACATTGAAAATCGGTCTTGAGGTTCCTGGTGCAAAAGCCAGGCCTGGTAGGCATCTACCACCTTGAGGTACAAGACCCCATCGATGCTGATGGTGACGTTGTCCTGTTTGCAGCTATGGTTTCCTTATGCTTCCTTGCCAGGTCCACATTGTGGGTTTCGTTTTGGTGTAAGGGTGGCAGAGGCCGCTATTCAGCGTTGTACGATTGCAGCATATACCGTAACATCAGATTACCCTTTGAGGTAATTTCCTCCCTGAACTCAGAGCGCTAGAAGACGTGCACCCTGTTTTCCCCGATGAACTGCCAATATGAAAGCAGCTCAGAAGCGACTCTCTGCAACAGCAGCTTGAAAGCAACGATGTGGTTCAGAGCTTGGGTTTGGGGTATGGAAACAGGCCACGAGGTCCCAGAACCTCCTTTCCTCCTCCTCAGTGCCTGAAACTTGCTGCTTTACAACAACCGTGAATTCGCAAGAAGACTGGAAGATCGATGCAATGTACCATCTCACACTTAGCAACCTGGAGGACGACCTCCCGTGTCAAGGCTCCCCGCCCACCCCTGGCGAGCCCCGGATCCTTGGTGATCGCCTGCTGGTTTGGGATTGGGATGGCCTCCTCCTTGAGGGAATGCGCATAGGCGACCCTGTCCACCACAGGCACCAGGAAGTGGAGTCCAGGCTCGAGGATCTTGTGAAATCGCCCCAGGCGCTCCACCACCCAGGCGATCTGTTGGGGCACCACCACGACACCGACATGCAGCCGTGGGGCCGTGACGCTATGGCGAGGCTTTTCCGCGCTGGTTGTGCTGTTCCCGGTCAGTGAACTCCTCGGCTGCTCCGAACAAGCAGCCCCGCTGTAAAACTGTAGATCGACAAAGGGTCTTGCCAGGGAACAATAGCTAAACAAGACCACAACAACGTGCTGTTGTTAGGAATAGGTAATGAGGTCCCCGAAAGAGCTCACCAAGACTCACTGACACGCTCCGGCGGAAGGCCGCCGCCCGTGGCGCCAGGGCTACGGTGGGTGGGGAGGGCCGGTGGTGGGCCGTAAAGGCCACGAGCCGCCTCCCCGTTGCAACTCGCATGGGGGGCTGCGATGAAAATTTCTCCTGTTGCTAAAGTCGCTGACCAAAGGGCCTTCAAAGGAGCCCTAAAGACACTAAGAGCATCTAAGAACCGAAAGGTGTGGAAGTAGCCGGAGGTTCGACCACCTGGTTCTCCACTTGGCTCTTTGACTGCTCATTAACTGCCGCGCCCTAGCTGGATGGTTTGCAATGACACATCCTGACCAAAACCTGGAGCCAAGGAGCACGGCGAGGTAGGCCTACGTTTAACGTCCACTACCACAAGTACGACCAGCCAATTACGGAAAGTCTGTACCCATAGGGAGATCTAAAGTCTAGAGGGTGCATCAGCTGGTCTAATAAACCCGACACCCAAGAACCCAAAAATTTTTATCTTGCGAGACCAACTTCCCTCCCCCGACCCCCCAAGCACCAGCAGCCCTAAACCCTCCCTAAACCCTCTTGCCTAAACCCAAAACCCTACTAAACCCTAAGCCCTGCTTGGCACACGGCGCTCTTCTTCGCGCCGCTTGGCCTCCTTCATCGCCTCTGTGTCTGCTTGCATGGGGGGTGGGGAGGCTTCTCCAGCATTACTGTGGGCCTCTTGGTACCCTAAGCTACCCTAAGCAGGAAAGCACCACAACACAACCCCGAAAAAGAATCTGCATGTAGGCAGCAGAAGCAAGCCAACAGCTGTGGGCTGTGGCTCCCTACACAAGCCGAAATTACGAGAGACCTATCTTTCAGTCAAGTATCAACACGGACTAGTTGTTTCAAACAACACCCATCGCGTGTCACTCGGGCTCAAGGAATACCCTCTTTTTGAATCCGTGTTGAGGCCGAGGCATGTGACGGAAGGAATACCCTCAGCCCTCAAGACCAATCGGTCCCAACGATAAAATAGCCCCAAACAGCACGTAAAAGAACCACGACATGTACACGCGTGAGCTCACCGCATGCGTCCACCCCTCGCAAGCCATACGTCTATGCCAACCAGGCACAAAACACCTCCACATTTAAAGCCGAGTAAGACAACAATCATGGACCATCGGCCTAACCCAGATCGATCCCCAGCATGCGCCCCGCCCAGTTTGCATTTCGAGGTCAAGGTTTAAAACGCATCTGCCCCGTGAGGCACGAGTTTTATAGTACCTCACTGGTTGCGCAGCATCCTACGTTTGCTGGATGCGGGGGTGGAGCCGCATCAGACAAAATTGCTGCCCCGTCACTTAGTCATCACTTCCCTCAGTAGGGAGACGGACACTTAGGAGCGGGGTCGACGTCTCCCTAGAGCCAGGGGGAGTTGAGCCGCACTTTGCACTTCTCGCATTTCAGGAAGCCGGAACACCACGTGGCAGAGGTGGCAGACCGCTGCAAGAGCTTAGGCTCAAGGGCCGAGCTGTGCCCCTGACTCGCACATGCTTGTCCCAGCCTCGACCCTGAAACTCTTGTAAGAACCCTACAAAACCGAAACCCAAAATTCTAAACGCCTACACTCTGTGGGCCCCCAAACCCTGAACCTCACTCGTCCCTAACTTCCCCAAACTCTGAACCCCTACCCCCCCAAGCCCCAAAATCCTAAGATTGAAGGTCCCGGCCTGGATCCGAGTTTTGGCCTGCTCCACCGCCTGGTCACACTCCTCCTTCACCTGCGCGCGAGTCCAAGAGGGCTTGGGGCCTTCCGCTGGTGCCTTTTTCTGCTTAGGGCTTCGGGCGGCCAGGTGTCAGAAACCGGCTGTCTCTCCCAGTTCATCCTCTGCTTCGTGATCTTCTTCTTCTTCTTCTTCTTCTTCTTCTTCTTCTTCTTCTTCTTCTTCTTCTTCTTCTTCTTCTTCTTCTTCTTCTTCTTCTTCTTCTTCTTCTTCTTCTTCTTCTTCTTCTTCTTCTTCTTCTTCTTTCTTCTTCTTCTTCTTCTTCTTCTTCTTCTTCTTCTTCTTCTTCTTCTTCTTCTTCTTCTTCTTCTTCTTCTTCTTCTTCTTCTTCTTCTTCTTCTTCTTCTTCTTCTTCTTCTTCTTCTTCTTCTTCTTCTTCTTCTTCTTCTTATTCTTCTTCTTCTTCTTCTTCTCCTTCTTCTTCTTCTTCGTCTTCTTCTTCTCCTTCTTCTTCTTTTGCTGTGGGGCATGGGGAACCTGAAGCCCCCCCCCCCCCCCTCCCACGCGTGCGAAGTCCTGGTCTGAAGGGAACATAAACATGGATACGCCCAAAGCACTACGTCTAATTGCAGCCCTGCGTTCACTATCCGAGAGGTGCATTTGGTCTTTGATTCTGAGAGAAAAAGAAGAAGAGGACTTTGTGTGCGAAATCCAGGACGTCCAGGAAATACCACGCCTGACAGGTTAAACAGAGCTTGCTGGGGAAGAGGGCTTCGTTGGACCGAAGCTACTGCGCTGGGCAGTAACAGAGAGTATGCAAGTGATGAACACACGGCGCAGGCATGCGCAGGCCCAGGCTAGGCTAGCAAAAAGCAGGGCAGCGGTCGGCTAGTCGCAACCACGTCTTCACGCAGCCGTTTTCGGAAAAGGGCGAGCGGGGCGGAGCCACTGCAGGAAGTAATAAGTCTGTAGATGCGGACAGTATTCAATAGTGAGTATAGCTCCTTCTACGCAAGAGAAAAGCCGCCAAGAGCATGCCGGCGCTTGCTCTGGGCATGCTTTGGGCATAGATAGCAGGGACGCTCCCCGGGCACTTGACGCCCACGGAGCCAAGTAATAGGGGCCGCCTTTTTGAAGAAAGGACCACATCTTAGTTTGTCCTTAAACCATCAAAACCCGAAACCCTAAACCCTAAACCCGAAACCCGAAACCCGAAACCCTGATGGAATTCACGCCATCGTGGGTCACGAAGTCCGGCCTTGGGAGCTTGGAGTCCACACTTGATCAACTCTTCCTGCATGACGTCGGCCAGCTCCTCACATGCGGGGGGGGGGGGGTTTAGAGCTGCTCGTGTATTTCATGTCTATGCCGCATGGCTGGGGGAGGAAGAATAGGGCCCCAGAGCTTAGATCAACCAGGAAGCCCAAAACCCTGTCCTGGTGGTGCTGGGCCAGATTCTCTTCTGTGGAAAGGCGCACCTTCGACTTCGAGGGGGAAGGGATGGGGGTGGGGGAAAGCAACCTGGGGCGGGGGGGGGGGGGGGGGGGGGGGGGGGCGGAGGGGGGACCCTGCGTTTCTTTGGAGGGCGTTCGGCCTTTCAGTGCCTTAGGGTCTTAAAGCTTCAAGGGCTTAATTTCCGGTTCTTAGATGGGAATTTGCCATGTCGTTGGATTTACACCTGATGGTAGTAGAAGGTTATACAAATGTATTACTGTATTACCACACTATTCTATTGCGAAACAACTTTACGACGAGACTACCACACTACTATGACACCACTACACCACTACACTACTACACTACCACTCTACGACACTACTATGCTACTGTGCTACTATACCGTACTGTACTTCGACTGCCTCGATTTCAAAGGATTTCGAAAACTCGTTAGTGTACTATGCTATCCGGCGATACTATACTATGATATACTACTATACTACCTATGCGACTATACTACTATACTCCTATATTAATGAATATACTGCCGTGGTTCTATACATTTCTCGAACACCATATATCTAAAATCATATTACTGTATTCTACTACTTTATTCTACTACCATATGATGATGCCACTACTAGACCCAAGAGTACCTATGCTACTTTATACGACTTTTTTTGAGGGATTGTTGTCGGAGTACCTTTGCCTTTCTACACAACCAGGAAGGAAACCCTCAAAAACCATCCAAGAAAGCGCGGTTGGCCCTCTTAAGCCTAAGGAAGGAAGTCCAGGACTTTCAGGAACTTTGCAAGGTGAGGAAGGGCAGTGCCTTGCACTTTGTGTATGGGTGCTTGGGCACCCTGTGGCCCTTCTGTCGGGCGGGGGGGGGGCCTTCTGCATGTACTGGCGGATCTTCATCGCCGCTCGCTGTTCCTCCGCCTGCTTTTGCCGCTCCTCCATCATCCTTGCCAATTTGGGGGCTTTTACCCTGAACCCTTGGCGGGGAGGAGCTTTCAATCTTACAAATCGGGGGTCCGGTTTGAGGTTATTTAACCTTGAATCTTCTGCCGACTCGCCGAAGCGGACATCCGGAAACCCTCAACGGAGTCCTCTGATGCTCTGCTGCCTTCCGCTTCATCTCTTCTTGCTGCTTTACTTTCATCTCCTCTTGCTTGCCTTACAGCAAATCAGAAGCACAGCGGCATAGCACACACTCGCATACACACGGAGACACACATTAGCCTTGCAACCCTCTACCGAAGTCCACAACACATGAAGAGGACGAGGATGCAAGCACATCTAAGCTACATCTGAAGGAAGACTTCAAAAGCTAAAAAGCGGGCTCTTTGGCGAGGAACTCTTCATGGCGGCCATGGCCATGGCCTTTTGCTGCGCGGCGATCATCTGCTCCTGCTGCTGCTTGAGCTGCTCGGCTTGCTGCGCATAGTGCTGCATGTAGGCCGCCTGCTGTTGCTGTAGCTGCTGTGTGTAGGCCGCATATTGCTGTTGGAGCGCTTGGGCAGCCTGCTGCTGCGATTGCGCGCCCTGGCCGGTGGCCGCCGTGGCTCCTCCTGCTGCTGCTGCGCCCGGCTGCGAAGGGCTGATGACGAAGGTCGGGTCTGCAGGGCCATCGTAAGGCACTTTCCAGCCCGTGCGGGGTGGGGTGCCGGCTGAGCTGCTGGGGTGGTATGCCCACACCTGGTCACCGCCGACCTTTGGGCCAAACCACCAGCCGCAGAAGTTTGGGCCATCCCGGTCATCCCAGTAGTACAACTGAACGTCTAGGCCATTGACCTGCTGGTCCTTTTTGTAGGTTGGCCTACCATGGTTCTGCCCGTTTGCGGTGAAATTCCCGCGCACGATCCCGCCGACCGTGCTGTGCGTGCAGCCAGTGACTGCAATGTGGGCGACGTTGCCCACCACATCCTGCAAGGAGTGTCGGGCACGGCTTCCTCACTAGCAATGGGAGCGCGGACCCCCAGAAGATGCAGTGTTACATCAGGCCTATAGGGTTTAGGGATGCTGCAATGCGAAAGCGCTTCTTCTAAAACCCCGGACCCCAAGACCCGAAACAAACCCAGCTTGCCAAACCTCTCTCTCTCTCGCAGACTCGGGAATCCGTCAGCTGCCGTCTGCAGCCCGATAGGCAATGTTTTTCCTCTAAAAACCCTAAATCCTTTGCCTCAAGAACCCAAGACCTACCTGTTCTAGGTTACCGAAGACTCCCGCCCACCAAAAAGGACTTTGGGTTCTTCAAGGCCAAAACCCTAACAACTCCTCGGCAGCGCCAGCGGTGCCCCTCGGCGGCACTTGCGCCGGGACGACTTGGCCCTGGCCCGGCCCGTACCCCGCATGCGCCTGCGACTTGGGGGGGGGGCCGGGGGGGAGGGCGGGTGTGTGGGCTTCAGGGACCCTCTCTTCCATACAATTGCAGATATGAGGGTCTGGGTTATAAGGAGACAGAGAGACAGAGAGAGAGAGAGAGAGAGAGAGAGAGATACATGGGCCAATATGTCAGGCCTAGGCCCAGATTAGGTGGCTGAAAAGCTTCAGAGGGGGTGCCTACACAACGCTTTGCGCCCTCTGCAGCCCCCGAAACCCTGAAGCCCAAACTGAATTTAGAAACAGCTCGTGCTGAATAAGGCGTAGCAGTAACACTACGGCTTTGGGATTGCTCTGGAGCTGCTCACGAAGTAAACGGCGCTGGCATGCATCTGTGGAAAGGGCACATAGAGGCATCAGAGCCCTTCAAGGAATCTGCCGAGCCTGCTGGGTTGAAGGCGTCGCCGCTTGCTGAGCGGAAGAGTAGCCTCGTGCTTTAAACCGGTATACTAGGTCACTAGGTCCCAGAGTTGCTGGAGAATGAAAAGGGTGGCCTTTTTCGTCTCGAAGAAGAGTTGGGCCCGATCCGGCTTTTCACTCAAGAGTTTTGACACCCTACCAGGAGTCCGGCATGCTCACCAGCACAAGGGCGTGGCAGAACAATATAAGCATCATGAGCATCAGCTCAGGCTCAAACTCCCGCCCCGAGCATCATGAGCATGAGCTGGCGCTGGCTTCAGACCCAAACCCCCGAGCATCATGAGCATCAGCTGGCGCTGGCCCGGGCTTTCAAACCCAAACCTTCGAGCATCACGAGCATCAGCTGGCGCTGGCTCTCAGACCCAAACCCCCGAGCATCATGAGCATCAGCTGGCACTGGCCCCGGCTTTCAGACCCAAACCCCGAGCATCACGAGCATCAGCTGGCGCTGGCCCCGGCTTTCAGACCCAAACCCCCGAGCATCATGAGCATCAGCTGGTGCTGGCCCGGCCTTTCAAACCCCAACCTTCGAGCATCACGAGCATCAGCTGGCACTGGCTCTCAGACCCAAACCCCCGAGCATCATGAGCATCAGCTGGCACTGGCCCCGGCTTTCAGACCCAAACCCCCGAGCATCATGAGCATCAGCTGGCGCTGGCCCCGGCTTTCAGACCCAAACCCCCGAGCATCATGAGCATCAGCTGGCGCTGGCCCGGCCTTTCAAACCCCAACCTTCGAGCATCACGAGCATCAGCTGGCGCTGGCTCTCAGACCCAAACCCCGAGCATCATGAGCATCAGCTGGCACTGGCCCCGGCTTTCAGACCCAAACCCCGAGCATCACGAGCATCAGCTGGCGCTGGCCCCGGCTTTCAGACCCAAACCCCCGAGCATCATGAGCGGGCTTTCAGACCCAAACCCCCGAGCATCATGAGCATCAGCTGGCGCTGGCCCCGGCTTTCAGACCCAAACCCCCGAGCATCATGAGCATCAGCTGGCGCTGGCCCGGGCTTTCAGACCCAGACCGCGAGCATCATGAGCATCAGCTGGCGCTGGCCCGGGCTTTCAGACCCAAACCCCCGACATCATGAGCATCAGCTGGCGCTGGGCCGGGCTCTCAGACCCAGACCCCCGAGCATCACGAGCATCAGCTGGCGCTGGCCCGGGCTTTCAAACCCAAACCCCGAGCATCATGAGCATCAGCTGGCACTGGCCCGGCTTTCAGACCCAAACCCCCGAGCATCATGAGCATCAGCTGGCGCTGGCCCGGGCTTTCAAACCCAAACCCCGAGCATCATCAGCATTAGCTGGCGCTGGCCCGGGCGTTCAGACCCAAACCCCCGAGCATCATGAGCATCAGCTGGCGCTGGCCCGGGCTTTCAAACCCAAACCCCTGAGCATCATGAGCATCAGTTGGCGCTGGCCCGGGGCTTTCAGACCCACACCCCCGAGCATCATGAGCATCAGCTGGCGCTGGCCCGGGCTTTCAGACCAAAACCCCCGAGCATCATGAGCATCAGCTGGCACTGGCCCGGGCTTTCAGACCCAAAACCCCCGAGCATCATGAGGATCAGCTGGCGCTGGACCGGGCCTGGCCCAGGCTCTCAGACCCAAACCCCCGAGCATCACGAGCATCAGCTGGCGCTGGCCCGGGCTTTCAGACCCAAACCCCGAGCATCATGAGCATCAGCTGGCGCTGGCCCGGGCTTTCAGACCCAAACCCCTGAGCATCATGAGCATCAGCTGGCGCTGGCCCGGCGCTGGCTCTCAGACCCAAACCCCCAAGCATCATGAGCATCAGCTGGCGCTGGCCCGGGCTTTCAAACCCAAACCCCGAGCATCATGAGCATCAGCTGGCACTGGCCCGGCTTTCAGACCCAAACCCCCGAGCATCATGAGCATCAGCTGGCGCTGGCCTTACAGAATTGGGTTTACGGCTTAGGGTTTTGAGGTTTAGGGGTTTGGGTTTGGGGTTGGAATTGACACGGAGAGAGACGCATCCTAGAGACCCATACAAGCCCGACATCCAACAGAGACCCCCAGACCGCGAAACACGGGCCAAGCAGCCGGGATAGCTCGAGGTCTGCTGCCTCGGCGTGCTGAAGGTCTCAGGCTTTGGGGGATCAATCGGAGGTCTTCGACGCTCACTGTTGGGCAGGCGAGTTTGAAGCTGAGATAGGTGAGTAGTGGGCATCACATTAGCAGTAACACTTCTTGCTGTGCGGCTGCTGTGGTTGGGACTGGGACTGCGTCGGCTGAGACGTCTGCGCCTGCCGACAAGCCAGCCCAACACACGTGGTCCACTTCAGAAAGAAACCCTGGACAACTCAGCCAACCCAATAATGCTACACCGGACTCTTGTCCTCAGCTGGGAGCCGGGGCACACTGGAACCCCCCGCAAGATCGCCGCGAGACTATAAACCCGCCCGGCCGTCGACTGTTGGTATAGCTGTGGGAACGCCGGCTGCTGATACATGGAGTAGCTCATGGCGAGCGACGAGCCCGGCCTTCGGGGTGTTTAGGGTTTAGGGTTTAGGGTTTAGGGTTTAGGGTTTAGGGTTTAGGGTTTAGGGTTTAGGGTTTAGGGTTTAGGGTTTAGGGTTTAGGGTTTAGGGTTGAGGGTTGAGGGTTTAGGGTTTAGGGTTTAGGGCTTGGCAGGGCTGGATTGTCCTTCTTATTCTTCACATTGTGTGGTCATTCTTGCTGGGATGGTCGTGCAGATTCATGTTTCTTGGCATTTGCGAATAGAAGGCCCAGGGGGTGAGGTCCCAAAATCGTCCCAAAAACCTCAACCTTCAGCCGGGGTTTCGGGCTTCACCTTGGACCCGATGCTCAAGAGAGGCTCCCCTTTTTCTAAGCTGGGTTCTTGTTGAGGGGCTGCAAAAAAAAGAGCAGAGTCGCCAGATTCCTTCACAATGAACCCAGTCAGCTCTTCCGCGCCCCTCCGCGAAGCCAGGGGATCCGTCTTGCTACGCCAACCCCGGCGGTCCCCTTCAACAGACTTCTCGTTTCGGGGAGGGGGGTGAGTTAGTGCAGCAGCCGACCCCATGAAACACCACCACTTGTCTTGGTACATGCTACCGCAAGTCAAAAAAACACCCTTGTGCAGCCTAAGGAGCCCTAAACCCTAAACTACCCTCCCCGAATGCTCTGCCTGGATGGGTTGAGAGCAAGAGCGGCTTAGGGTTGAGGACTGACCAACTGCAAGTGCCCCGCTGCTTAGGGTTGTTGGGCCCTTGGGCTTGTTTTGCACCCGCACAGCTGGACGAACCACTCCGCAGGGATTCCTGATCTAAATGACTGGTTGACTGAAAGGAAAGAAAAAGGTTCTCACCCTCGGGTTTTGGGGTCTTGGGGTGTATCGAGGTTCTTTGAAGAGACTAAAGGAGGGACCCTTACAATGGACCTTAGGGGTATATCTTGCGTTATATAGGGGAATAAGATGATGGCCCCTCCTTAAACCCCTCAACTCTTGAAATTGCGGGCTTACGGGCCCCTAAGCTTCCCGCTTCCCCCCCAGAATTCTTGGGTCCCGGCGGCTCACGGCCAACTTTCCAAAACCAATCTGGCGTCAAGACTGGCAGGAGCCAAACGGCAGTGCGGAGCGCGCAGAGATTGCACCACAGCAAGGTTTAAAGTTCAGTTTAGGGTTTAGGGTCTAGTTATATGATGATCTAACAAGATCACAACATGTTAACATATATGAATTTAACAATATAATGAAAAAATGGGATGCCAGGCAAGTTCAGGGCCTCCAAAACTGCATTCGTAGGTGTCAAAAGATTTGGTAACGGCTGCTGTTGCCGATGGCCGGTAGGCACCCTGAAACTGGGACAGGAAAAGGTAGTGAGCCTGAAGCTTGAAAACTCCTGTTGACTCGAACAACAAAGCTCTCACAACCCTGAACCCTAAACCCTGAGGAGGAATGGCATCATACAAGATGAAATCTGGGCTCGAAGGTGAAAGCCCGGGCGGACTGCCCAAAAACACTTCGAGGCTGGCATTGGCCCAGGGTCTCTGGTTTCGGGGCTTAGGGTAGCTCCAGGAACCCTAAACCCTAAACCCTAAACCCGAATTTCAAGACCTACTTGGTGGTGAATAAACCACCCCCTCCGCTCCCAGGCACCACTGCGGCTGTGGGCAAAGCACCACCTCATCAGGGTCTCTTTTGCGGAGCCGAGATGCTCCTGGGCTCGGGAGGACATTTGGGGGTCGGGGCTCTGTTTCTCATTGTGCCATAGGGGGCTTAAGGCTTTTGGGGTGTCAGGGGAGTGGGCTACAAGGTTGTGGACCGGCTTGGTGCAACTTAAGGAACCCCTAGAACAAATAACCCCCTAAATCACCCCTGAGGTCCCTTATAAGGGGTAAGAGTCCCTCCTCTAGTCCCTTGAACAATTCGACAAGGAGCCTTCCGCACACCATATTGCTTCAAGCAGACTCACGGGGCTCAACATGTACAGAAGAGCTGGCGCTCTGGGCGACCTTCAACAGAAACCCTGACTTCGTCACCAATACCCAGATGCGTGAGGGACCCAGCATCCTGCGTCCTACCACGTCAAGGAGCTTCAAACTAGTAAAGCTCTAAACCGTCTTCAGCCCCCGTCTCATCCAAGCACCATACAGGAAACAGCAGGCAAAGGAAGTACGACAGAACTGAACCAACCGGACGAGCAGTGACTTAGCACTCGGAAGCAGCAGCTTGCAAGAAATTGGAAGGCATGACATCGGTCAAGCGAACGGCGAGAAAAGATCGAAAGCATAAATACGAAGTTGCTCGAAGTCATGAGGTGTACATCGTACAAATCCTCAGGAATGCAGATGGCAAAGACCAATCCCAAATATTGCATGCGAAGAGGCAACATGCACTCTCAAAGTTCGACATCATATCCCTGAAGAGCATCCTGACATCTGCCGAGGCTCTCTCCAACTCCCAAAGCTGTCGAAGCCAGGGCAGAGGGAAACGTCCGGGGTCGCAGAAGGAGCCCTTTCAAACTGAGGGGTGCTGTTCCATGCAGTGGGGAGAAACCAAAGGCAGCCACCTCAAGTAGCTCAGACGGCCGTCCTACATTAGGTCCTACATCCTTACTGGTAGCCTCGACGGCCCTGAGGCCCCTAGGCCCCCTTCTGTTCTCATCTTGCACAGCTGTGCCATTGGCGGCTGGCCCGGTCTCAGAAATCAAGGTTCGCCCTGGTACACTAACATCTAAAGAAATCTAAACGCCCAGGCTGCCCAGATAACTCCCTGAAGCCCTGATTTCGGAGGCACGGCCGCACGCTAGTTGTTATACTCAGCCTGACAGGCTGTGCTTCGGACATTCGGACTGTGCTGCATACCCACAGGCGACTCTAGCATGACGGACGGCTTGGAGACTTAAGTGGGGTAGACCTCCATTAGGGTTTAGGGTTTTGGGTTTAGGGTCTTGGGTCTAGGGTTTAGGGCTTGTAGATGAGGAAGCGTCGCATGCGATCCCTTCGGCGATTCATAACCCCAAAGCCTCGGCCTAGGCAACGGTGTGCATGTGTGATCATGTCTGATATGTGCGGGGTCGTGAGCAACACGGGGCGCCGTGGCGAATCCCTATCAGAATCGAGCCAACCGCAACCGACAGAGGTCAAAAGCAATGGAGCTCCCCAACGTTCAGGCACCCCACATTAGATAGTTGTACTTAAGACTTACGTGTCGATTTCGCCCCACTTGAGCCTCGCAGAAACCACAAGATGGCAACTATTCCCCCGTGAGCCTGCGAACTGGGCCTTCGGGTCCTGGGCACGGTACGAAGCGTCTTTCCAGGCGACTTTGGGAGTCTTAGGAGCTTCCTCTCTCCCGCTCGCGAGATTCTTGTGAGTTTGGGCGCCAGAACGACGGCTGCGTTGCACGCGCAGTTGTGTCTAGCACTATGACCGTACTATGACCGAGTCTGAGCGCTTCTCTTGCAGGGCGATGTGGGGCCTGTGGCTCGTCTCGAGACTTACCATTTCCAAAATGTGTGATCCCTCAATCTGGCTTTTTTTAGGAGAACAACCTCCCAAACCACCCAGTCAAAAACAGTCCAAGATTAAGTTGAAGTGAACAGTGAACGTAGGTGCCCCCTTCCCCCCGCGTCGCGAAACGCCAGAAAACTGCTGACGATTTAGTTACAGGGCGATACAGGGCGCACGGATCCAGGGGATGTCCTTGGACTACCTAAGCCTAAGCCCCCAAAGCCCCAACTCAACCACCCTAAACCCGAGACTCTACCTAAACTCTAAGCCTTGACAAGAGTGCCGACAAAGGCCGAAGAACGAAGCATTCATAGCTAGGTCGGAGACACAAGACAGCAGGAGCTGAGAGGAGTTCGGATGGTTCGAACTTACTGCCTCAGAATTCTCAAATAAAGACTACCTACTTAGCACCTACGTAAAGGCCGCAGATGACAGCAGATGGAGGCCGAGATCAGTGAGGAGCACGACAGGGAGAGCATGCGGCAATGCACCGCTGCACGGAACGACCATCCGAACAGGAAAGACCGCGCTGCACTAGCTGCTGAGATGTGTCCCCTTAAGAAACTTTGAGGACTGGAGCATTTTGCAGGAAGCCTAGACTCCTAAGCTATGTCTTAAAGCATAGGGTCCAGTGCCCTGACCCACCCCCGGAGCCCGGCTACGCACATGTAGCCTGCGTACAAGTCCAACAGCAGGCCGCATCCTGAGCACGCGTGTGAGGAGCCTCACCCTCATACACCCTACCTGCGGCCTCATCTCGTTTATCCCCTCTCAAGATGCGCTATAAAGCACCATTGCTGGCCTGGTCGTAGGGAGGCCTGGCCTACCTAGGTTCCAGTGCTCAAGGCTTATGGGCGAAGCGGCTGTCCCAGTTCGACTGCTAGCAACCACGCCGCGAGTTAGCAAGTAGCTAAGACAACCGATCTCGGGCAAGCAGGCCCAACAGCAGACAGCATGACCGAACCAGGGACAGAGCAAAACCAGAAACCCGACATGAAAGAACCAAGCAGATGCTGCTGGAGACGGAGGTGTCTCGTGTGAGAGCTCTCGGAGGAGATTACGTACCCTTGACCCCAAAACCCAAACAACTGCTGCGATCGGGAGCCCCTCGCTGACATTTCTCGAATTCAAGGCTGAGGACTCAAATATGAAGGGGGGCGGGTTTAGACCCGCCGGTTGTGCATGCGCATGGCAGCTTAGTGATGCGAAACC